AAAAAAAAACTTTTTTTTTTTTTTTTTTTTTCTCATTTTTTTCATCTTGAAATGAGGACGTCATCAAAAGAAAAGAAATAGAGAAATACCTACATCCTGTAATAAGTTCCAAAATTCGAAGAGGAACATGAAAAAGAATAAGTGTTTGCCAAAATGTTCTTTCCAACGGTAGATTGATAATCCGAGATACAGATGGCAAATAAGCGCGCTAAAATATGCATATTTATCTTGCGTTATCAAACTGTTCAAAAACCTAAAATAAACACTATACCTGTTTTTGCCAATCTTCTCATCTTTTGAAAAACTTGGCATTTTGTACTCCAGTTTTCTTTCCTATCACCAGCATTTTTTAATGGTAAAAAAAAAAAAAAAGAAAGCAAAATATCTTTTGCAATTTTTCTGTTTTTTTTTTTTTTTTTCATTTTTCTAGCTAACTTGCTGCTTTAAAGACTGAACGGGATTTCACTGCGGTCGTCTGATTTACCACAAAAAAATATGCATCTTCTTTACCACTGACAATGACATTCTCAATGCAAAGTTTGAGCACCATTTTTTGCCTTTAACTGCATTAGTTGTTTTTTCTTCCACTTCTACCTAATAATTAAACCGCATAATTAAAAAATAGAAATTAGCAATTTCCCTTTTTAATTCAACTTAAATTACAATTGGTCTATTGAAGTGTACAAAAAAAGCATTATAATAAAACTTTTTCTGCTTGTTCCACCAACCACAATGCTGTTATTTTGATCCAACTGTATCTGTGAAATCTTAGAGCAAAATATTTATGCAAAAAATTAACTACAGCAAAGAATTAAGTGCACATAAATTAAGTAGATTAACGAAAGTGTTAAAAAAATCTAGAACTAAAAAAAAAATATCACATTGTTCAAAATTCTCTATGCTAACTGCTAATCCATTTTAGTTTAATTAATTTGATTAAAAAAATTGATAAAAATTTTTATTTTTTAGTCAGATAATTTTGAGGTAAACAAATAAGTTGATAGTTAAAAAAATGATAATAAAAAGTTAGAAAATTTTTGGAAATTTTTTGCAAACAATGCTATTTTTTGTCTGATGAGCAGATGGCATTTGGATATATCAGAAATACGTTTAACAACAGTGAAAGCATTAAACGTTGGTTTCGCTTAAAACTTACTCCGCAAGACCAATTGTAATTACTAATCTGAGCATTGTGTAGTATCAAAGCAATAGTGATTGCAGCTATGGCACCAACTAATGGTGGTGTAAAGCCGAGAACAAACGCTGTCGTTGGACCCAGACGGAACAGTTCTGTGCTCTGCAATTACATTCAGCTATATAGTGCATCCTAAATACATGGAATACCACTGCTGTGACAGGAGACCAATTCCGGAACAAAAAAAAAAAGAAATTGACACCTAACTTTCTCATAAATTAAAATAGATTTCAGTTCCAATTTATTG